TATAATATAATACAATATAATATAATGTAATATAGTATAATGATAGTACCAGGCAGAGGTGGCCTGGCCACCCACGCCGCTAACCAGGGAGTCCCCGAGGAAAAGCAATAGCAACGGCCTGACACAATGATTGCTTGGATAGTTTTTGTTTATGGGTTCGCATAAATCAAGAATTTACCCAATATATAGAGCAGCTCAGGAATGTGGCTCTGCTCGAAAAAGCGACCTGCTTCATTCTTTTGACCACACGGGCTCAGCGATAAGCTTCAGTAACCTCACTTTCCCACGGCCTGCTGCAGGTGCTGCAGGCATCACCTGTAAGGCACTGTGCATTGCCACGTCCAGACAAGAGTGGAAGAAAGCTTCCGAGTTCGTTCTTTAGCCTCGTCGGCGTGGCACGCGCTTTTCGGTCGCCGCCTATCTATGCACCCTGAGTGCCTCACCGGGCGCTTTGCGGCCGGAGAGACGCGGTGGTGCACCGCCGCACCCTTCGTTTAAAAAGACGCGGACTTCTAAAGCTCTCAGCCTACTATCTGCTACCGTGCTCAGACCTGCACGTTCAAAAACATTCGTAGGTCCTCGCTGGCACACAAGACAGCACAAGCTTGGAGATGAGTTGACAGAGGCGGCGGGACTGGCATCCTTCTTGGTCCTTGACACCGAGGAAGGCTTTGCATACATCGTAGAGGAAGAACTGGCCGCTGATGATGCAGGACGCCCAGACACTGCGCGAGCCCAAACCAGCAAAGAAGCCTCAGCGTCGCAGCTAGCGTGAAGGTTCAAGGATGTTCAAGGAGCTCGCGAGGGAGCGTTCGACAAGCATTCGCCCAGGAGCCTTGAAGGCCCTGCTCTTCCCAGATCTCCTTCCCAGTGTCGAAGAAGAAAGCTCGGCCTCCAGTCCTGAAGCGGGCTTCAACTACCCACTGCTCAGCTCTGTCAAAAGGGAGGAAGCAGTTTTCTCTAGGCGTGCAGGACAAGGAACGTCTGATTCATCCTCGTGAGGATGGTATCGGCAGGCTGGGACACGATGGAGGCAGTGAGGCCTGCTACGGCTCCAGACAGCAGGGAGACGATGAGTTGCGTCTCAGTTTGGTTCGCCAGGAAGGGAAACAAGTCAAAGACGAAGTCTGCAAAGTAGTCGAACACAAGGAACTTCATCATGCCGAAAAGGACCTGCCTTATCAGCAGCGTCTGGAATCCGTCGAAAAGGGTACCAAGACCACCTGCTTCTGCTGAAATGACATCCAACACCTGCAGGGTTCCACTGTTCAGTGGCGTCAAACCTCTAACCCCTGAAAACGATTGCCGCTCTGATCTGAAGATTCGCAACAGGTGCTACAAGTAGCACCTCTGGCAGGCTGCGGCGCCCCTCGCCGCAGACCTGGCGGATGCGGCAGGCTTCGGCGGGGCAGACGCCAATGCAGGCGAAGATGGTGGCCGTTGCTCCGGCCAGAAGTACTAAGAAGACCTTCAGATCCTCTATGGGGCACAAGGAGACGTAGAGGCGCTTGAAAAACTCGTAGCCCGGGTACACGGTCACGCCGTACCATAAATAGCCCAATACAGTGGGCTCCCACCCAGCCAACAAAGCGCCAGCACCTTCCGTCCTTTGGATCCGCAACGCGAAGGCTAGGAGCCCTTCCTCTTCCTCCGATGCTTCCGAAACCTTGGCCGACTTGGCCGCCTGAAGCCGAGTCTTCACCACGTCCAGAGGGATAACAAGAGAGTGGGTCACCGAGCAACCCAAAGCCCCAGACAAAGCGAAGAGCCTGTAGTCGTTTAGTGTCAGTGGACGCTCCTTGCCAAAATGCAGACAACCTAACTGTTAATTACTTCGTGATTCGTGCTCTTAGTTTATCACTGCTGGTCTTCGCCCTGCTCCTTGACTACGACCTCGGCACCGCGCACGCCAAAGACGCTCAGCGCGGCGCCGCGGTCGATCTCATCGAAAGCCTCTTTCAAAATTCAAAACACACAAGTTGCGGCAACCCCTTGGAAACCAGCATTTACCATCGAGTACCGGACACTGCGGTAGGGCTGTGCCGCCTGCAAGCCAGGAATTACCCAGCGGTTTCGGCCGCCGTCCCAGACCTTCAGGCGCCCGCCAGAGCGCTTGGCAAAACCATCGACTAGTCCGCAGCCCTGTCGCACCGGGTACTGCGTGTCGGGGAGGAGGCGCGAAGGGTCCATGGCCAAGTAGTCAGGCAGAGCAGGTGAGAAGACGGCCTGGAAACAACGGCTAAAGCTGTGACTCCGACGTGTCATCCGTGCGAGGTCTGATTGGCAGTGCAACCTCGCCTGGAGCCGGGTATCCAGACCAAGGGAAGCCAAGAGCTCACTCAGGAGCTCTAAGGGCTGGTCTTCGAGTAGGCAGAAGGCCAAGGCCAGTTGCCGCCGCCGCTCCGGTGTGCTGCCGTATCTCGCACCAACAATTGAGTCCAAGTTCATCTCACTCAACCGTGCAGGCCGCACCTGTCCACCAAACGTTTCAGAAGTCCTCAAACCGACGAGGGATCACAAGAGCGAGCGAGAGCGAGCGAGCGAGAGCGAGCGAGAG